GCCCCTGCTGAATTTAATAAAATAATAGTAATAATAATAATGGATATTAAACTGTACTTAATGACTGTTTATTGAAGTCCTTTAATAACAAGTTGTAAGTCTTGAGTTTTATAATCCTATGGGTTTAGTGCTCCCCCATGATTATAATAATAGTAATGTAAGTCTTGAATTGATGCTGAAACCAACACACAGCGAGTGTAAACAAGAATTATGCTGTAATTTCAGCTATTCTGTACATGTATCTGCATTCACTTTTATTAATTTGATACATCACAGTGACCTTTACAATCCTGGGAAAATGAGTTTTCAAATATTCAGTGCCTATTTTAACTTGAAATTGTTGGAAAAGTGTTATGTAAAAAAAAAAAAAAAAAAAAAAAAAGGTTGATTTAACCTATTGACTGTAGCAACCCCAAATCCTGAGATGTCTCCTGGTGTTGCAAAAATTAAAAAAAAAAAAAAAAATTTTTATGAAATGATAGAATCTTTTCCCAATGGTAATGACACCAAAAGAACGAAATTTGATAGAAAACTGATGGAATTACGCTCTCGCGAAGTTAGCGACCTTGGCGATATTTACGGATCAGCGATTTCGCCCACTTTGAGCCCTATTTTCGGCTAATTCCGTTGTTCCAGTCGACCAAACTCATAGCTATTTCTTTAGAACTCCATTTTTTTTCTATCGACTGAGTACAAGAAACTGCCCATTTACCGATTTCAACTACCCAATAACATGGTCAGAAATTTGCAATTTGGACAATTTCACGAAAATTAAAAAAATATGACAGTTTCAAAATAGGGTCCAGAATGAGCAATGCAGACATTCCTGGCTCTAAAATAACCTTTTCTTTGTTCATCAGTCATGTCTCCAGGCCCCTGTGATATTACTCTTGCTTTTTATTTTGAATTTTTATTCAAAGAAATATTGCAGACTACTGCAATATTGTAATAATTGTATAAATAATGTCAATCCATTCATGAATGCATATTGGAATGGCTAGTTGGACATTTATTGGACAATGACATCATTTGTTTACTTTTGAACATCGGCAAAAATCAAACATTTCCCTTACATTGAGCTCCATTTCCAGGTTCTTTTTATAGTAAAACCAATCAAAATCACCACTATTTCTATAATATGTTTTCCATTCTATCAAATGAGACCAAGAAAACGAGAATACAACCATAAATACTGTACTATACAAAAATAGACCACAAAGTTGGCACTTTAATTAACCCTTTCAGGGTCGACAGGCCCTCTCCCAGACTCGTTCTCAGGGTCGAGAAATTTAAAAAAAAAAAAAAAAAAAAAAAAAAAAAAATTCTTATAAAAAGCTTCTGGAGAATATTCCACTTCATTATAGCTACTGGAAGTGTTTTCAAGAGCCTGTAGTTCACATTCATTATTACTATCATCACCAATGCTCACATCTGAGTCTGGGATATGGGAAAATAGGAGTTTCCTCCTTTGTTCTGGTACAACTGAATGTGAACAAGACAGCTCAGCAACAGAGGTGGAAGGCTGAGGGTAATCTGGGTTTTCCTCACTATTGCTGGTATTATGGTCATTAGTTTCGGTCACAACTTCATCAAAACCTTGAAACTCATCTTCACTGTCACTTCCATCTGTATTAGAACTGTCACCGGGGAACAAAAGTGTCCCAATTTGCCGAGGAGTGAGGAATTTCTTACCGCGAGACATGGTGAACAAGGTCTACTAAAATGGCGTTCCCACAATGCGGCAGTGGGTCCCAGATTTTTTTTGTACTGCACACACCGACCACACACACACCCATTCTCTCGCGTCTAGGCCTACCAGCCTTTTCCCGCGAGACTTGAAGGCGCTAGAATTTACGCATACTAGTACGTCGAAAACCCTGAAAGGGTTAAAAAAAATGGTCGGAGTTTTTTTTTCTCATTATGCACTGCGTGCTGCAGGATTTTTTTATATGGTGCACACTGACCACACAGATCCATTCTCTCACATGTGGGCCCACCAGCTTTCTCCTTCTTGATTTGAAGCCGCTAGAATTTGAGTATATATACGTCAAAAACGGTGGATCATAAGACGTATATATACGACCAAAACAGTCAAAGGGTTAAATGCTATTGGCAGTGGGGTGAGAAGACCTGTGAACAGTTACAATTCAGTTTTTATTTCAAAATTACTGTATTGTACATAAAAAAAAAAGTGCAATAATATGAAGGCCTATTGGATGCACAGCATTTCAGGCAAAACTTAATCTAGTCTTAAAATCTACAAAGCTTTTTTTTTTTTTTTTAACCCTTCCACTCTTTTGCACAGATCTGTGTTACTGAGGCCAGTGTCACTCACGCAGATCTATGTCTTAACGATAGTGACGTCATGGCCTAGAGAGGAGAGAATAGATGTGTTTTGGAGTGGTATTACAGCCTCTCCTCACTTAGTGACGTACTCATTTACTGACGACTCAGTATTCATATCTAAATAATGTATATTAGAGTTGATTTTCTCTATTCTGTTTATTACAATGTATAGTACACTACTGTGTAAACATTTTAAAATATACCAGAAATGTCATAAATGGTACAAAGGTGACATTAAAACAGTACCAAAGATGGTTGACACAAATCTACTACCATTATAGTATGCTCCTCACTTAGCGATGAATTTGCTTACTGACGTGGTCTTAGGAACGGAATTCTGTCATTGAGGATTGGCTGTATTAGAAACTTTAAATTTTTGCTGACAAGTTAACAAGATAATTCATAATTAAAAATTGTCATATCTGTGCTCCTCTGGCAAGGCAGTGATAATGTGAATGATGGTGAAAGTGTTTCTTTTTTTGGGGTCATCATTTCTTTTTGATTATAATAATAATAATTTGGGTCATCATACCTCAATAGAAGATGGCCAGTGTGTTAAAAAAAAAATGATTAAAGTGTGAATGATACTAGTCTATGAAATTACAATATAAACAATATAATGACAAGTTCATTGAAGGTTTCTGCAGATATGGATACAGAGAGTTAAGGATAATACTATGTGAAATTATTGGTAAAATAGAAAGGATTGCAGCATTTGACAAATATGTGGGAATAGAAAAAATGCAGAAAAGAGAACAGGAGGATGAGTAGTGGATAACAAAGCTGATTTTAAGATTTTTTTTTTGGCTGCCATGAATATTAAGTTCAGTGTCAGCAGTTTGCTAGATTATGCATGTTGGTTAAATGGTTGATAATTAGATTTATGGAAGTACAGTACATGTTTTTTAGAAGAACTGTTACGTTAGATAATTATTTAATGGTAGGTACCGCAATGAGTAAGAAGCAAATAGAATGCAAATAGAATAAGATGTTCTATTTATTTATTTGAGGAAGCATTAAACCCATGTGAGCCATTTAGCATGAGTGGTAGAGGCCCAATCCTCTGTTCAATAATTGTATCCTAGTGTCTGACCAGACTGTTGATCACAGTGGGTAAGAGAAATGAAAGCAAATGGACTAAAGAGGAGGAATGTTAGTGAAGTATAAGCAACTACTGAAGGAAAGGTGAGCTAGAGGGGTAATGAGGAAGAGGTCAAGGAAGTATGACAGGGTAAAATATGCAGCAAAGGTTCGCAGTTATAGAATGGTGGGTATGACCGGGAAAAAATCAGTGGAATGATGAAGTAAAGAGGGTGGAAAATTATATGCAGAAAGCAGTTTATTAAAAGAAAAATAGGAACTAAATGAATGGTGAAAGAATACAAAACAGCAAATGAGAGAATGGGTGATTATAAAAATAATCAAAACTAAGTGCTAAACCCACCAGGATCATACAGCACTGCAGAGAATGGGTATCAGCCTATTTTGCTGAAAACAAAAAACAGTTTTGGAAAGCTTAATAAACAGACAGCATGAGCAGCAAATGATCTTGGTAGTCAATTATATTTAGTCATAAGGGAGTGATAAATTCATAAGGGTCATACTGTACCTGGAGAATGGGCAGTAGTCATGAAATGGGAGGATAGGTTCAATTTCTTGGATTATAAACCCCTTACCAGCATCAAGGCACTTCTTGGGAAGAATTGCCTAGCAGTTAGGAATGAAAAGAGTGAAATGTAAGATGGGGGAAGTAGCAGAAAGATGAAGATTGGGTAGGAATAGGGAAGAACCAGGAGTGAATGTGGAAGCGGGGCAAAGCAACTGAGAAAGAAGGGGTAAAACTTTAAAGTGCTACAAACAGGTGTGGATATATTTTTCAAGTGGTAGTATATTTGTTTAGTACATCAATTAAAGAAGGTAAGGTACCTAAGAATTCAGAGAAGGAGGCAGCAAGAAAATAATTATAATAAAAAAATGAAGTGCTAAACCTACAAGGTCGCAAGAAAATAAGCTTGATTATTGTTATTGCATTCTTGAGGATGCATCAAACCCAAACCCATCTGACAAAAGTGAGAGTATCTCCAATTCACTAAACCCATAAAGGTTGCCCAATGGGGAAAAGTACTAAACCCTTAGTCATACAGCATCTGGGGAATAAAGAGCAATCAGATCTGTTCAACTGAAGGGGAGGGGAAAGTCCAATTCCTTAGTTCAAGAGCCCTTCTCGAGCATCAAGGAACCTCCTCAGAGGGGCAAGATCATACAGTTCCTAGGAAATGGGAAATACTTAGACTGGATCCGAGGCAGGGGAGTGTAGCTTTAATTCTTCAAATTAAATGAAGAAGCATTTGTCCTGAATTATTATTATGGGGGAAGGGCTAAACCTGTAGGGACTATACAGTGCCTATGGGGGGAGGGGATAGAAGGCATTCAGGCTTAATTCGGGGAATTGAAGAACAGATCCAATTCCCTAGATCAAGAGCCTTCTCCCTTGAGGGGTCGTACTGAATAGTTTTGTCCTTCAAAGGGTTTAGTGCCTAATTTTATTATTATTATGTTGTGAAAAGCTTCACATGTATAATATTAACATCGTTAAATTATATGTTATTCAGTATCACCAGTTTGAAAACAAATATGGTGGATCAAGCACAAAGTCTGTCCATCCTGTTTATTCATACACTGTGTGGTAGTGGTATAAACCTTGGTAATAGATACTGACACATTGGGTTAGAAAGACATGTAAGCAAACACTAGGACATATTCATTAGAAAATGTTTTGGTCCTGGGACCTTGATCACCAAAATGTTTTCTAATAAATATGTTCTGGTGTTTGCTTACATGTTTTTTCTAAACCACTGTGTGGTAATATACATTTTTAAGTGGTACTGTATTGGATTATAACTAAATTTAAAAAAAAAAAAAAACCTTGCTATTACATTCTAAATATAGAACATTTATGTAAAGTTCTTGCATACTGATGGTAACCTTATTTTTTAAGGTTTGCAATAACCTAAGATTTTTTAGGTCCAATGGGTCCTACAGCAGCATTGGCCCGAAGCACTGCTCCAGGGGATGGGTAAGGACGCATCTGGAACAATGGACCACTAGCTGTTACATCAGCACCAGTGCGAGCTTCATTCCGCTGAGGAAGTCCAGATGCCCAATTTCCCCTGCAAAAAGAGATAATCTCATGTTTTTTTTGTCTTATTTTTGTACCAATTCTGTTACATTAATAAAAAAAAAAACTGTACTAATTCTCTGCTAAAATGGCTTCCTAGTTTTTCCTTGTTATGATACCTTGAGCAGTTTTTGTTTAATAGGAATTTCTATTTAAATTTATTTGATGAAAATAAACAGAAATGGGAATTGCTTACTTTCCATTTAGCCATGTTCATACCAATAGCATTATGTCAAGAAAAACAGCACTTACTTTTTACACACATGGAATTGATTTAGCTAGTAACATTCCTTTGTATACGGCTGGGGGAAGTATAAATGTATAACCCACAAAAAGCTATTATGATTGCCATTAAAAGTCTTAAAATGAGCTAGACTCATTAGGGTCAATCAGTGCGACTTGGCAGAGGTGACTGAAAGGGTGAACTTATGTAACAGATCATCAAGGAGGGGTTATCACTAAGTGGGAGGAGGAAGAAAGAAGTGTAATGTTCAAAATAGTGAAATTCACAAGTTCAAACTCCCACTAGGAGTGGTGATAAGTATGGGTGTAGGAATAATAGGGAAGTGGTCACTATTATGATGATCATTACCACTACTCAATCAAAGTCTAGTGCTACAAAGGTTGGGCAAAGTTGAGAGAATAATACATGGCAGAGTATGAGTTCAAGGGTCTACATGGGTTGTAGCCCCAGTATGTGTCCAAATATGGACACGAAGGTTAAGGGATTAGAAAATAATCAAATAGGTAACCATAAGTGTCACAGTGGGACCCATCCCAAAAACATAAGTAAACCTACAAGTACATGTAGTGGTGGTTCAGAATGAAACCTGAAGGGTGTCTGAAGATAAGGGAGGACAAGGTACAAAAAGCAGATTGTATACCACTTATCTTTTAGGTAAGTGGTACTATGGTCTGCGGTAAAATGGCGAGGAGTCTGAATGAGCAATTTGGAATATCAGTGTACACTAGATGCTTGTAGGAGACGGCAAGGTAAGGATTGCGACAGATTGTAGAATTGTAACCAGAGACAGGAAAGTCAATAACTTGGTAGAGTTTAGTTTCTTGGAAACAACTGCATAAAAGATCAATATGGTGTATGTTGTAGTGACTATAATCTTTAAGTGATGACTCACAGCCATCTACTGCTCGGCAGTCACAAAACCATTTCTAAACACTTCTATATCAACAAGCAAAGGGAACAAGATATTTAAGACAGAATAAAACTCTTGTTAACACAATTATAAATGAGAAAATTGTTATGTTAAAATATATGAGAAGCATCAAACTCAGCTATGTGACTATTCCAAACGTATAGACTGTACAAACAAGCAAATAAAACAAGGAATTTAAGATTGGGTAAAATCTTTCTTTTTACTTTTTAGCATATCTTAAATAGGTGTCATATCAGGCTTACATGTTTTCTCTGAAAGGAACACCAGCTTCTTCCTGGATCTTACTAAGTAACTTCATTTAGTACGTTTTTATTTAGGCTTTTGGGTAAAAAAACATAATGTACATTTCTAGATCAATAAGTAGTTGCATATACAGTGTAAAATTTAAGTTTCATTATTTTGAATGAAATATTTAAAAAAACTGATTGACTCTTGTGGAGGTATCAAGAGTCTAATCCTATTTTTGTCATACCTTTGAAGAGTTTTGAGAGCTTCTCTACTCCCTGCGCCTGGCCATGGGCCAGGCTTGTCTGGTGCTTGCCTGGTCAACCAGGCTGTTGCTGCTGGAGGCCTGCTGCCCCACATATCCATCACAGCCTGGTTGATCTGGCACCTGGTGAAGATACTTATCCAGTTTCCTCTTGAAGACTTCTACACTTTTTCCCGCCATGTTTCTGATATCTTCTGGTAAGATGTTGAATAGTCTGGGACCTCGGATGTTGATAGTGTTCCCTTATTGTCCCCACCGCATCCCTGCTCCTCACTGGGTTTATTTTACACTTCTTTCCATGTTTCTCATTCCAGTATGTTGTTATGGCACTGTGCAGATTTGGGACCAGGCTCTTGAGTACTTTTCACGTATATATTATCATGTACAGTGGACCCTCAGTTTTTGTGTTTAATCTGTCCCAGAGCAATCGGTAAAAAAGGAAATTGGAGAAAACGGAAACAATTTTCCCCATAAGAAATAATGTAAATCCAATTAATCTGTTCTAGACACCCAGAAGTATTAACAAAAAAGTTTTTTTTTAACTTAAAGATATTTACATGCACAAAAGAATGAACATTTAACATGACACTTACTTTTAATGAAGGCTGTTGTTGATGGATGGAAGACAGGGAGGAGGGAAGAGGTTATTCTTTGGAAGGGGAGTCCCCCTCCATAAGGACTTTAGGTACCACGTCCTTATCTGAGGTCACTTCCCTCCTTTGATTTTTAATGCCACTAGGACCAGTTTGAGAGTCACTGGACGCACTGCACAAAATAACTGTCCAGAGTGCTCTGTTTCTGGCATCTCTTTAAGATCTGCCTAAAATGGAACATGGCATTGTCATTGTAAAAGTTGCCAGCATGGATCGCAACAGCTTTCTCAGGGTGATGTTCCTCCACAAATGAATGCACATTGCGAGTTGAATTGCACAAATCTCCTTAATCTTTGAAGAAGGCACCTTCTTAAGAACATAAGAAAGTAGGAACACTGCAACAGGCCTACTGACCCATGCAGAGCAGGTCCATGTCCCCCCCCCCAGATTAGCCCAGTGACCCACCCAGTCTGGTCAGGTCATATTCACTTAAGGAAGGAGCATGGCACCAGACCCAGCAGCACAAGCTAGTCAGCTCCATCTCTCTTCCTCCTCCTCTGAAGCAGTTCCCTGAGCTGTGGTCTGTTGCTGTTGCAGATGAAGCTCTTTCAGCTCAACAGTGGTTAGCTCTTCATTGTGGTCCTCTACCAACTCTTCCACATCCTTGCCACTTACATCCAACCCCATGGAATTCCCCAATGCCACAATTAATTGCGCAACAGGAGTAGCGTCGACAGGGTCAGTTTCAAACCCTTCAAAATCCTTCTTTTGGACACAATCTGGCCACAATTTTCCCTAAGCAGAGTTCATCGTCCTGGAAGTCACTCTCTGCCAAGCCTTATCTATAAGGCTTATGCAGTGGAAGATATTGAAGTGATTCTTCCAGAACTCTCTTAGGGTCAATTCAGAGTCTGAGGTTATGTCAAACACCTTTGAAACATTGCTTTGGTGCACAGTTTTTTGAAGTTTGCAACGATCTGCTGGTCCATGGGCTGGATGAGAGGAGTGGTGTTAAGAGGCAAGAACTTCACTGTTACAAAACCGAAGTTGCTAAACAATTGGTCTTCCAAGTTTGGAAGATGAGCAGGAGCATTGTCCAGTACCAGGAGACACTTAAGTGGCAATTTATTATCCAGGAGGTATTTCTTCACACTCGGGCCAAACACTTCATTGAACCATTCCAAGAAAATTTACCTAGTGACCCACGCCCTACTGTTAGCCTTTCACATCACACACAATTTACTCTTGACAACATTGTTTTTCTTGAACACACTGGAATTTTCAGAGTGATACAAAAGTAAAGGCTTCACTTTGAAATCCCCACTAGCATTACCACACAAGAGAGCTAGCTTGTCTTTCATAGGCTTGTGTCCTGGGAGTGCCTTTTCCTCCTGTGTGATGTAGGTCCTGTTTGGCATTTTCTTCCAAAACAGGCCTGTTTTGTCACAAATGAACACTTGTTGGGGTTGGAATTTTTCAGCCTCTACATAATCTTTGAATTCCCGCACAAATTTTTCAGCCGCTTGTTTATCAGAACTGGCACCCCTCACCATGCCTTACAACACTTTGTATGCCACTTTGCTTCTTGATTTTTTCAAACCAGCCTTTGCTAGCCTTAAATTTACCTACATCAGCACTGGTTTCAGGCAGTTTCTTTATGAGATCGCCATGCAACTGCCTTGCCTTTTCACAAATTATCAACTGCACAACACTGTCTCCTGCTAACTCTTTCTCTCTGATCCACACCAACAACAATTTCTCCACTTCTTCAATTGTTTGGGATCTCTATTTGGTTACAGCATTCACCCCTTTTGCAACACCAGCTTCCATGATTTCTTTTCTCTTTGCCACAATGGAGCTGATTGTTGATGGTGCCTTTCCATACATCCTGCCGAGTTCAGCAATGCTTATGCCACTATCATATTTTTGAACAATTTCTTTTTTCATTTCTATGGTGTTCCTCACTTTCTTTACCAAAGGACTGGCACTAGGAGCTTTCTTTGGGGCCATGGTGGCTTATTTAGCAGTCACACACAATAAACAAGTGCCAAAAACAATGGATTATTACGAAATGTTTTGCATGACCTGGCAGGATATGTTCCCTCACCGAGAAACAATGTGACACTGCCTGAGAATGCATGTAGGAGGCGACTTTGTCTGCACGCTGGGCACTGGACAGGTTCTGTACGATTGACGAAAACAGAACCAAAATATCGACAAAACAAGTCGACAAAAACAGAAATCGACGAAAAGGGAGGGTCCACTGTATCTCTCTCTCCTCTGTTCTAATGAGTACATGTTCAAGACTTGAAGGCATTCCCAGTAGTTTAGGTGCTTTACTGGCTCAATGTGAGCCGTAAACGATCTCTGTATTTGTTCCACCGCTGATATTTCCCCTGCTTTGAATGGGGCCATCAGCATTGAGCAATATTCTAGTGGAGGGAACACTAGCAATTTGAAGTGTCACCATCGGCATTATTTACCTTGTTTTTGAAGGTTCTCAATACCCACCCTATCATCTTCCTGGCTGTCGTGATCTTTGTCTTGTTATGATCTTTAAAAGAAAGGACCGCTGACATAATTATTCCCAGGTCTTTTATGTGTTCCTTATGTTTTATATGGTGACCTCCTTTAGTTTTGTATATAGTGTTCCTTTAAAGTTCTTCATTTTTCCATACTTAAGCAGCTGGAACTTGTCACCATTGAACGTCATGTTGTTCTCATGTTATTCATG